AGCTCAAGCTGGCCCCAAGTGCAAGTGCAAACTGGGGCCCGAATAGTGAGCCCTGTTATCCGCGTCGAGAGCCGCCCTTATATAGCAAAACCTCAGAACGGCCCAGAGCCCCAAGTCATCGGCCAAGTGCCTCACTGGATCTGGACCGCCGCGCTCGGTATTGTTTGAAGTGAGACATCGCTACCGAAGGAGAAGAACGGCACGACGCGCGCGCGCGTTGGGCGTGATGAAAGTGTGACGCTTTTCGTGACCCGGACCGCTTTCGGGCCGGGCAGATTTTGGGCTCCTAGGTGACAAACCGGAACTCATCCTGAGCCCCGGAACCTCTGACGCGAACATTCGCTTCGAGAGATATGATACTAGCCTGAATATCTCAAGGGCAATGGGGGATGATGAAGAATCGCTCTTATAAGCATCGTATTCTCGATGAAGATACCAGTGCAACCTCTCCATGAGTAAGTTATCGGCACATAGAGTGCTTAGTAGCCCATCTCTATCTCGCTGCAAATCAATGTAAGAAGGTAAGCCTTTCAAGAATCGCTCCCCATTCTCTGCAGATATGTGGGGATAGACGTGCTCCCATACGAATGCAGATCGAGCAGTGGATAAGAATCTCTGTTGGGCACCTGCGTACTGTCTCGCGACAACATCGCGAAACTTGTCGCGAACCTCGAGCTTACTGAGTGAGCGCAGTATGAGGCGATAAAGATGCGTTTGGGATGCGGACCAGTACACGAAGGCCATCAAATACGTGATGGGTGTCCTGTATGGACAACTCTTCTCGAGTAGAGGGAGCAGACTGGCGACGCAGTATATGATCACGAAGCTCCCAAGGATCGCAGTAGCAATGCCAGCCACAACATGATCGATAGGAAAGAGGAAGACAAGGAGTCCGCACGCGAAGAGGAAGACTGCGAGATGCACCAAGGCGACGATCCAGGAGACAAACTGGTCCATCCCATAATGATTGACACCCATGCGAATGAAAATGTGATTAAATGTGCGCTCCATGAGGCTCTCGTGAAGGACCTTTCGTCTCTTGATGTCCTGGACGTAGGCTCGAGACCACTCCTGAACAAGGGTTGACAGTAGCGCGCATATGAGCGAGATCAATAAGCTCGAAAACCAGAGGGCATTCGTAACGATGGCCGTGGGTGGGGTGGAGAATGGCTCAGGCGTCGCGATAATGACGGGGAGACCCGCAGACGCGTTCGCGGTTGCGACAAGGAGTTGCGAGAGGAGTTGGACGGTTTGATCGCCAGAGTCTACCGAGAGCTGCGTATAACTCTCGACAATGAAAGCCGCCACTGTCGCGGCGAAAAGACCAGTCTGCAGTGCGTCGTTAGCGTTCGCGCTAAATGTTGAGATGAGGGGAACGCACAAAAGTCAGGATGCCTGTCGTGCTACCCTCCCAGTTCTTCGGGCGCGCTTCGTCCTCATCCTTGGACGCTTCTAAATACGTATTCCAGATGAAGTCTTCCGGATTCTCATACTCGGGTTTCTCGTTCGCGGGCATGTTGGCGAGATAGAAGGTGAGTGCAGGAAGCAAGCAGGGATTGCATGGCTTGCGTGTCGTGTATGGCGTTGAATAGAATGAGGTAGGGATATTACCTTGCCAGGCCGATGACAGACCAAATGTTCCCAGCGTCTAACTGGTGGTTGCCGTTTGCGGCGCGGCGAGGGCCGAGAATCGCACTCTGGGACACTGACCCCCAAGACGCTTCGCCGCACAGATACTTGTTCGTGCAAACACTACACGAGTCTGGCATGGAGGGGAGAACGGCGCTCGTATTCAGTACTGCATGCGGCCATGGCCATTGCGAGTCGTGGCAAGAGGCAAGTTGCGCCCACGCCGGATCATCACTCTTTCTGAGCGCGACCACCACGAGGCGAGTCGTTGAGGTTCTCCACGCTCCCTGCAACAGCGATCGCTTGCCATGTACGTATACGCATCCTCATTGTGTATATATGCTGAATTGAGCCTATCTCGCGTGTTCAGGTTCGGTCCGTACTCGAGGCTGTCCACGCACTGCGCACACGCTGGGTCCTGGCTTAATTAAGGCAGACGGCATTTGACGCGTCGGTGAGCCTGCTCCATGAGGCTTGAGGCTTGAAGCCTTCTAAGCCATACTGGGTTACTTGCCGTGGGGTTTCTAAACGTTGTAGAATATCCTAGATCGCAGATTCTTCCCGCCAGTCGGCTCTGACGGTCGTGGGACGAGTGACGGGGGCGTCTGGTTGGACGACACCGCCTGCGATCACGACTTACATCACCATTCAAGAGTATAGGATAGTCTACATCGTCTGCAACTCCCACGGCAAGTAACCCACTGACCCGATGCTCGCAGGTAATATTACTGGAGAGGGTACAAGTCGCGTCGCTGCCGGCTGGTGTGCCCCGGGGTGCGCGCACAGGCGTGAAGTCGGATGGACGCAACCTGCATAAGCGAGTTCCAGAGCGTATGCTCGAGATTCGATGACTACAATCCTGGGCACCCTACTCCACTATCCTGTAGGTTTTCTCACCTGTGACTCAGCCATTGGGATTGCCTAATGTTAGGAGCAGATGAAGACCGTCAGCACACAATACCGGGTTTCGGCGCACGTGTATCAGGCACGAGCCAAAAATCCTTTCGACCAGCTCAGCAGGTTCGTGCAGGTATGTTCTATCCCTTGCTTGCGTTATGGACTCGGCTAATCGACTCTATCTTTCCAGACTTCCACTTGGCAGTGCTCGCGCCGACCTGTGCTTCGCGCATTCCAGCCATCTTGAACTCGACAAACGATCTTAGAGCCTGCAAGGCCATCCTCAGGGCGATCCTAACTTCATCTCCCATCGCTTCCGCATACGCAGTCGGTGTTATCGCCGTGACCGTGGCCGGCAATGTGCGGGGCTATGGCGTCTACGTCCGGCGAGAATGAACTCTTGGAGGTGCGGGTGGCGTGGGAGATGGTGCCGCTCGATGCGTGGGTCGGTTCTTGACGACATCGGTGTGCCACAGGTACGCTCGGTGCTTGCCTCGCGTTGACCAGTGAACAACACTCACACCCCCATCTCACAGGCCGTCGATACAGACCCCAAAATCACCCTCCAAGATGCAGTATTCCTCCTCGCGCGACTCCAGTGTCTGCAACCCAGCCCGTGCGGCCAAGCATCCGTACTCTTCAGTAAGATCACCTCACCCCTACATAAACGCGACCGCTCGGGCGCCGGCACTCGCCGCTACAGGATCACGGCTCCACGCCGACTCTGAAGACAAGATGGCCGGCTTGTCGCCTGGATATGTGGGGAAGGCCCGCCTGTAGTTGCTGGCGTTGCTTGGACGATGCCGGGGCTTGACCTTGACACCGAAGGGCAGAGAGTGCTGGGGTGGGTCGTGGCGAGTGATAGGTACGAGTGTGGTCTACGCTCTTGGGCCTGTATACATCGTCTGACGCGGTACTTGATTAGGTGATCGAACATATTGGCCCTGCCAGCATCACATTCCGCTATCCATCATGACTTGGTCCTCGAATGACTGCACCGAATACAATGTCAGTTTTCGCCCAGGCGTAGACGTACGAGATATATAGATCACAAATTTCATGCCAGTTGACGAGCTGCTCTGACTGCAGCTGGATATCTCCAGGCATTTGGACAACAAGTATACGATGAGCAAGGCAACATCAGCATCCCGAGTGCCTTGCCGTGCAGTATGAGTAATGAGCGAGCTCAGCACTCCGTAGATCGCGCGCTCACCATGAGCGCTCGCGACGCGTCAGTCCGCGCGGAAAATCGGGCCAGATAGGCGCCCATGTGATCGCGTCAAGCGTTCGCACGGACGCGTCGCGGCCTCGCGTTAGCGCGCGTCCGGAATCCTTGTCCTCTCACCACCACCTGTCCTAGTCCTGTGCTGTCCTACGAAGGAGGACGGGTCACTTGGAAGCACGCGTCGAGAGGGAGAGCATGCACGTTGAACCCAAACATCTGAAGTCGAGACACGTCTGGGATTGTTATCGTGGGTAATGAGCCTACTACACATTGAATCAGAGGGCTACAAGGTCTAATCTTCCTGACTTTTCTCTCCCTCCGCCACCACCCGCGCTTCTTCCCCATCACTCGATCTATCTGCTGAACTCTCCATCGCTATCAATGGCACCATGCCTGATCTTCCCTCGGTCGAATCACGAGTGCCGTCCACGACCACGGTCGTCAATACCGGCGAACCCGGAACATGAGCGCCTTCGTCATCCCTTCCAATCTGCGCGTTCAAAGTCTCGAGACAGTAGGGTGGTATATAGCTCAGGAGGCCCGACACGCGTACAACACGAGTCGCTGGGTGAAGAGCCTTGGAACGTTCAATATGCCTACTGGCATCCGAGCGCCGCTCTCATGATCATCTTCATTGAGTTCTCGATCTACCACTCTACTTATCTCTATCATACAGTCCTTCGCACGCTAAATCGCACCCTCGCCTCAACTCCTGTTATCTTCGCTGCGTTTCCCCGATCCCGCCATCGTCTACGACAACCTTCTCCAAATCAGTACTAGCTTCAACTGC